AAGCCGCGCTGAGGGGCGGCCTGCCTGCCTGCCTGCATGCCTCTCCAGCGGCCTGGGCCTAACGCGGCGTCCCGAGGTGTGTGCCCGTAACGGGGGGGTGGGGGGGGCTGCTTTCCTGCTCGGCTTCGTGCGGCGTCGGTGTGTTGCAAGCACCTCGCTTGTACCATCAGTCACCAGCAAGTTTGTTGGGAGGGGTAGCACGTTGCCTGCTTCCAAAAACTTTGTGCGTTTCCTTTTGTGGTTACTCCAAGCATAAGATTTTAAAGCGCAGTTTGAGGTTTTTAACTCAAAAACATATGGTGGCGGTTAATATGCTCTGAATTTCGATGTGACGTAGTGTGTAACGTTGTGTACTTAAAGTTATCGGGTAAAGAAGATAGGTTAGATCTGTAGAGTAGTTTCCAAGTTCATATATCTGCTATTAGCATGTTTTGTTAGGTAAGTAAAGCTGGAAACTTTGGTAAAAGTATTTCCCCAAGTCAGATGTGCTAACTTGTAGAAAAAGCTTTTACCCAGTTAAGAATACTTCAAATTTTTGTTGATCCAGAATGTAGATAACGGTTTTGATGATAGAGCTATGTCTGTGTAATGGTGCAGTCAATAGTTTTCATGGTTGATATTGAATTACTGGTGTAGGAACAGCTGTCTAAACAATTTTCAAGAAGCTAGGTGTGTTTAGATGAATTTTCTTATGTCAGTTTCCTGTGTTTCTTGGATGGTTTGTTTCAGATTTGACCCAATGTTTAGAAAATAGTTACTCAAAAATTCTTTATTAGGATTACATGTTAACTCCTATATGGCATAATCAAATATTTATTGTATATGCCATAACCCAATATTTATTGTACTGATGTCTTGCCATTTTGCAGCTGAACACAGCTGCATATGCTATTAGAACATACAAAATGGCTGTTGTGCATGTGGTGAGAAGAGTAACGCTACAACTAGTCTCTTCTTGCTTTGTCTCCGAGTATATAAGACGTTGCCTTAAAAAGACTACAGTAGCACACTCCAGGCAAAAGGTTCTTTTTAGGTGCATTTAATATTTAATTTTTATTAATGATAATTAATAAATTATTAATGATATTAATGTCCTTTTGCAGCCTCACAAGAAAAAGAAACCCTTCATAGAGAAGAAGAAAGCAGTAACGTTTCACTTAGTGCACAGAAGTCAGAGGGATCCCCTTGCTGCTGATGATACTGCACCCCAGAGAGTTCTGTTGCCTACACAGAAAGTAAGTACTCGCTTTTAATATTGAGGTTCATTCAGATAAGAAATGCTATGGGAGAGAAAAGTGGATATGCAATCATACAATTCAAAAGCATAGCCTGAGAGGAGGTAGTTTTTAGTCCAACTTATTAAAAAGAAGGGGATGTTGTAGGGAGTTTCTACCTGATGGGTTGAAGGATGACTAACTGGCATTATAGGTATAAACATATTAAAAAAACAACAAAGATTGCCTGACCCACCCTGAAAAAACAGGCTTTGTTAGTTGTGCTGCTTATGGAAAAAGTTGTTGAAGGTCCTGCTCAGACAGCACCCTAACACTGAACCAAATGGTTACAATGTTCTAATTGGCTGTACATTGGGGTAATGAGTGGACGACAAAGACTTTAGAATTGCAGCATTCTCAATAGACGTGTTACTTTTCTTTTTGCTAGTAAGTTTTAAATGGACTTCAGTAACTAAATGTGTTTCTTTTTGCAATTCCAAGGGGCATGAGGAGCAAAGGAGGGAAGAGCAACGGAAATACGGAGTCTTCTTTGATGATGACTATGACTATTTGCAGCATCTAAAAGAAGCCTCTGGTCCCTCTGAGCTTGTCCCTTCTGTGCGTGGACAGCAAAGTAGAATTGTTGTCACGAGTGAGGGGCACATAGAAGATGAAATTCAGCGAGTTCCGGTAAGTAGTATTTTTGCTAACAATAATCTTATGCTGTTCTTTGGAGCTTAGCATCCTGTAGACACATTAACCATATTCAACAATTCTTATCGTGACTGCGATCTGTGCGTATCTGTAGGATGCTTTTGACCTGCAGTCAGGCTTCACTACAAGTAAAAACGAAAGTTGACAAGCCAAAGTTTATTGATGAACACTATTTTGCTAGTACAGTGTAAAAACACTTTGTGTACCCATGACAAGCTTTTCTTGACAGAGATGACTTACAAAGTTATTTGTTTGAACAAGTCATGTGATTTTCTGGGGTTGGCATTTGGTTTTAAGATTTTTAGAACTTTTGAATGGTCTGGGAGTTATGAATATACCCAGTTGTATTACTAGTACACCATGTTTTTAAAGTGGAATGTAACAGAACCCACAGGGAAAACCCCAAACTTTTCAATTGCTGGTGTAACTTGTGGAATTTCATGATGCTAGGTCATGTTGGAATGGAAAATCAGTAAGTAATTTCAAGCAATAAAGTATGCAACTGCCAGTCAGTCACTTTTAATTGAGGGAGTTTGGTTTAACCAAATACTGTAATTTTAGTCAAAAATTATGTTATTAGTCAGAAATACCTTTCAGGCACAGTTTGGTGATACTACATAAAATTTAAAGATATTTTAGATGTGCATGTTAGTAAGCTTTTAATAAGCCCTTCAATAAAGGTGTAATTTCAAATGGGTGTTAGTGTTCTCCAAAACAAAAAAAATTTACAAATTTCATTGTGCCTGCTGTACAACCATTCTCTAAAAAGCTTCCGAGATGCAAAAATACTCTCTCTATACCTGGAGAATATTGACATCAGAATTAATGCTGCCAGCACTTTACCTAGCTTTCATTGCATAACTTTGAAAATTTGCCACCAATAAAGTAGTGCTTGTCTTAAATATTTAACTCACAGAGTTTCTTCTGGTCACACGATTATCTGCACATTTTTGTTAATGTGAGCTCAAATGAGAAACCGATACATTGTGATGGTTTTTTGTTTCTTTTTCTAAGGCACCATCTATTAAGTTGCCTTCCTCAGTATTTGCCACAGAGTTTGAAGAGGATGTGGGCTTGTTAAATAAAGCTGCTCCTGTTTCAGGTATCATTAAATCTTTGACCTTCCTGTAACATGAGTTGCCATCTAGGTGCTAGATGGTAATTATATGTCTTTGATTACAGTGTCATATTAGTTTTGGTTTAGAACAGGCTCAATAGCAGACATACAGGTCTCTTATAGATCATTCTTTGTTTCAATTTGAGACCTATTTCTGTGATTCATTAATAATGTTTTTTTAGCTTTCCTTGGGGAGGTGGAATCCATGAGCTCTTACTATTGTGTAGCAAATATAAACTAATAACAGGGGAAAACTGTAGATAATGCTGTTGATTTAGTATTCCATCTGTTTGAATCCAAGTCTAGAACAGGATTTTCACTCTCAAAACTTACCATCTTTTCAAATGCGGAGTGGTGTTTACTTTCCTTCATTAGTATTATTTCAGTGTTACAGGCTGTAAGTATGTTTCCGTTATCCGTGCTTACACTGAACATTCACTTCACAGCTATCTTAATGTTTTATAGCAGGAAGTAGTTGTGGTAGTTCTGGTAGTTCTGTCTGTCCTGATGGAAGGATCCTAAAGACACTTCTGTTAATTGCAGTACAGAAACACTTTCTGACCTTTTGTAATGTAGGGAATTTTAGGGTGTGGGAGCCAGGGTTGACAGTTGATCACACAGTACTTGAATATTTTTTCTTTTACAATATTCTAAGTAAAATATATTAAAATACAGTTATGGGAGCTTAAGACCTCTGGGGAATGTTCTTTTCTGGATGAGGAGAATTGAGAAGAGGCTGGTGGCTTGCCCTGACTTGTATCAAATCTACAAATATTATTGAGGAATTTTGTGATTCTTAGGCTTAATCTTTCCTTAGTGCAATTTAACACTCTAGTTCAATTGGGTTTTTTATCCAGGAAAGTAGCTTTGTAATGTCAGAGAAACTTAAATATTTATGTTTTGTTTTGTTTTTTAACTTTCTAGGACCACGGCTAGATTTTGACCCTGATATTGTTGCAGCTCTTGATGATGATTTTGACTTTGACAATCCAGAAAATATCCTGGAAGATGATTTTGTTCTACAAGCAAATGAACCACAGAAAGGGTAGATATAGCTTTGTAGAACAGCTTGCCATATGTAAATAGGAATGATGCTATTTGTCATTTCATGCGGTGGTGTAGGAACCAAGAATGGTTTCAGATTTCAAATTGAATACTTAGGTGTGTTAAAGGAAAAAAAGTTTTATCTCATTTTTATATGGGTGGTAACTTACAAAATCAAGTTTTCATGTGTTATCTAAGAGATGGGTTTCATTTGTTACTTTGAGCTCATGGTTTGTATGTATTTCTTTACAGATGCCGGGTATGGAATAATAGGATTGTTGAACTATTTAAAACATTACCTTCTATCACATTTAAAATACATTGGTGATGATATTGACGAAGGCTAACAGGTGTTTCCAGAACTTTTACAAATGCTTCATGTGATACCCCACTGCATATTATTTCTTGAGGTTTTGGTGTCATTCTCATCATTCTATGAACAATGTGAAATTTTGTTAGTTTTAATACTCAAGAATGCAGCTAGTATTTTTCTTTTTCCACTGTGACATGTATAGCTGAATATAAACATAACCTCATTCTCGGCACAGATGTGCGATCCAACAGTTATCAGATACGTTTTCAGCTTTCAGTCAAAAGTAGTATGATGTTGTCTTTGGCAACACCGTTACTGCTAATCTTGTTTTTCTTTTACTGGCTTGAAAATAATCACTTATCTTTGAAGATTTAAATCTATTGCCAAATTGTTTCAGACATCCCAATGTTGGTCAGAGTTGTGGAAAGGTCCATGTATTACTCTAAAACTGTTTTATACTTCTGTTCAGGGGATCAGATGCTGAGGATGAAGATGAATGGGAAGATGTGGAGGATGATAGTGATGAAAAGGATAGTTGCAGTAATGATAAAGACTACGATTCAGAAGGTCCTTTATCAGATGACGGGGTTCATGGTCGGACAAAAGAATTTCTTTTTATGCAAGAAGAAACCAGGAGTCGTTTCACAGAATATTCTATGACATCTTCAGTAATGCGAAGGAATGAGCAGTTAACCCTGTTGGATGACAGATTTGAGAAGGTGGGGCAGCTCAGGAATTTAACTGTTAAACGTAAGAGTGTTAAATGCTTCTTTGTCTTTTGATTCCTCTCATGCAGTGGTGTTCTGTATGCCTGTGCAGATGCTTCCTGCCTTCAGTAGTCAGGGCATCAAACAGCTGTTCTTTGCGCGTATGCCACATTTAATATTCTGTGCACTAAGTACATAGGTTATAGGTTAATTGCTATTAAAAGTCCTAACACTGCTGTAGTTAAAATTATTCCAGTTATTATAATGAGCATTCGTAGTTGATGTTACACTTTTGTCTGAGAGGCTCGGTTCAATGCAGCAAATGATGTAAAAGTGCCTGGTAAAGACTCACTTCTTTCACCCTTTCTCCACACTGTGCCAAGTATATGTTCATGAAATTATGTCAGAGCAGTGGAAATATGGTGTAACTTTTGTCCTAAGCAGTGACAGGCTTTTTAGTGTACAGATTGAAATAATGCATCAGAATAAGAAACATTTTCCAGGAGCTAATTTGTATATTATTAAAAGATAACTTTGCGACTCCCAAGCTGAAAGAATACTGACGATAAGGAGGAAATCCTCTTGCAGGTGTGTTTGGCAGTTCAGCAAATGAGAGGGGAGAAGAAAAAGGGGCAAATAGAAAGAAATGTGTAGGTCTTCTTTAAGCTATCAAGAAGGTGCATGACAAATGCGACCTAATTACAGGGACCCCCTTCTTTATTGTAGTTTTTTGAACAATTTGATGAAGATGAAATCGGAGCCTTGGATAATGTGGAGTTAGAAGGCTATATTAACACGGACAATGCTCGGTTGCAGGAAGTCCTGAATGATTACTACAAAGAGAAAGCAAAGAAGTATGTATTCCCAGAAGTATTGCTTCACATTAGTTATGTAATCCTGTGTTTATATTGAAAGTTTGGGTCTGTTGTCCCAGTTCATGTACTCAAAGATTACTTCCCACAATAAAAGCAACTACATAGGAGTATTAACCTTTTTTTCTTATGTCACTGAATTTCACTTTTAGCTTATGAGATGATAAAATTAAGTGGAGGCAATTATGTGAGATAATGCTCCTTTTGTATAATTGTATTGAATTTAGTGTAAGTAATATCTAGAGGCATTTTTCCTTTCCCTTTTTAATGTAACTTACTTTTTTCTTTATACCTTCACTTTTGTTTTTAACAGACTTTGTAGCCACGTATTTTCTGTCCTGCCGGTATGCAGCTGATTCCACTGTATACCTAGTTACGTGATAATAAACTCGGGCAACTGTTGCACGGGTACAGCTGCTTGGAGCACTGCAAAAATCAGTGCTTATAAACCAACTCTGTAAGACTGCAGTTCCACAGTATATTCACTTTGTCTTAAAGCAGGTGATACTGTCCCAAAGTTAAATGGTTAACTGTTATGTCACATTAGTCTTGTGTTTCCTGATTGAAAGATACAGTCATGCATCCCTTGTAGTGAAAGGTGACTGGTCAGCAGCAGAGTGCATCATCACCTCTAGAGCTGCCTTGCTTACAAAGTTTACCACCTTCCCTTCCTGCCCTCCAGTCACAAATATTGTGTGTTACATAAGTTTGAAATGCAGCAATACTTCTTTTGTCAGTTTTGTCTCTTGTTCTAATGTTTAGGTTTATTTTGGGGATGCTTACTTTAAGGAAACATTTTTGCTGCAAATTTCATTAGGAATGGCTTTCTTTGGTTTGAGGTTTTACTGAGGGGAGACTGGGTTTACATAATTACACATTTTCAAGAAAAAGATAAACCTTTTTTTTTTTTTCTTCTCTGGCTTTCTTGAAAGTTGTGTGAAATTGGATGCTCTTGAACCCTGTGAAGATTTAGACTCTCCTGTGAATGAAGAAAGTGAGGAAGAAAAGGAAGAAATAGTAGCTGTAGTTATTGAGGAACCAAAAGAAAAGTGGGATTGTGAATCCATTTTGAGTAAGTATTTTGGAGTTTGTTTGTTGCTAGGATTTCAAAGTAAATGATAGGTGATCTCAGAACTTTTCTAACAGTGCTTTAGGTAAAATGGTTTATGCTTCTGGAGCACAACAG